CTTTAGGACATCTTGTGATCTACATTTTAGAGAATAAATATGACATAGTCCATCTAGTTCAAAATCTAAAAGAGGTGGTCTACTATAATGATGGATCTTTTTTAGCAATCTTTAATAAAGATCCACATGTAATAGGTAGTGACTCAGAGGAGGAAAGAAGAAGACCTCCACCTAAACCAGTTGGTACTCAAAATTTTTAGGATATGGTCCAGCAATTTGATTGACTTGAGAGTCATTTTGATCAATGTTTTGATCAAATTGAAACTCATCTTCAACAGCAGGACTATCAACATTAGCAGGATATGAATTGGGTTAGCGGTCAGTTTGATTCAGTTAACATGAATATGGCTATTATGAGTAACTATTTCAACTTCTTCAACCCTCCTCAGCCTCCTTCAGATCAGGGTCCTTCAGAGTGATGACTGTACTTCTTTATGATTCTCTCTACCAGACGTGATGTGATGTGATTGTTAGATGTTATATTTTTGTGTTTTATGTCATGTTATGTGATGTTAGTCATGTTGTGATGTTTTGTGTTGTTAGTTTGTGTTTTTGTATTTTGAAAATATGCTTATTAATATCATTCATATTTTATGTAATATCCAGTATCATGTTATCAATAAAAGCTATTTTGCCTTACTTTTATTTTATTTTGAAATGTGTGTTAGCCTATATAATCATCCTTAAAATATTTGATCTTACAAGTGCTATAAATTGCATTGCAACTCAAAATTAAATTCACTAGAAAATCTAATTTTTTAAAAATTTAAGTTGTGACTTGATCTAGTTAAGAATGTCAATCGCATGTCTCTTGTTAGACTAACAAAATTTTTATATTATTATTACAATTATGATGTTTTCTTATTTTTATATTTCTCTTATCAATATAAATATTGTTGTACTTAGAAAAATTTGAGATTTTAGATTATTAGTTTTGGAAAGATTAAGAATACACTTGAAAATGTACAAAAATCAAAAGAATGCACAATAATTTGCAATTTGAAAAAAGGCACAAAATAAGCCCACAAGTAGAAAGATGCACAAAATGTGCCACAAATATTGAAAAGATGCGCAAAGCGTCATAAGTGGTATTTGATTCTTTCCCTAATCTTTTAATCTTTCAATTGAAATTAATCTTCTGTATGATTTTATTTGGTATTAAAATTTAAAATATATAAATTTTACATTCATCTACTTTGTAATGATTTTGTTTATCTCATTGTCTAAATTGATTCATGATTTTGATAATTTTTTTCTTGTCTATGTTATCTCTTCTTAAATCACATGAATCATTCTATTTTTCTAATGAACTTTAATTTTATTTACAAATATATCTCAATCTCTTTCAAGGATCAATTATTAAAGGCTTTTCATATGACTTCTAACATTTATATATTTTTCTTTTTCTTCTTCTCTTTTTGGTTCTGTCAAAAAGGGGGAGAAATATTATTTGTTTGTTTTATCGATGCATTTGTGTTCAAGTGATTGTGTGTTATTCAAGTGATTTTGTTTAAAAATTTTAAAATAAAATTTTTTTTATGTTCAAATGCCCCTTATTCTCACATGCTTATTAATTCAGGGGGAGTTTAGGAGATACTTAGGAATTTGAAAATTATACAAATAATAATTATTTTGGCATCATAAAAAAGGAGGAGATTGTTAAAAAAGTTGCTACTTAGCTTTTGCATGTTTTATATTCTTGCAACTTGTTATTTTAATGATTCCAAATATTATTATTTTGATTACTTAATTTCTCCTAACACATTTTGGAAGAATTATTTTTTGGCTCTTGTGTGTACTAATATTTTAGGGAAATTAAACTCCAGACTGGTGAAGACTTTAAATAAAGATCTAACTATACTATTTTGTAATTTGGAGTATGTATTTTGTTCATTTTGAGTTAGAGAAAGTGTGATTGTAATTGAGTAACTTAGCACACACACACACTAGGAGAGATCTTTAAAAGACAAAATTTCTCATATTGATCGTACGGGACAAACCATATTCGTACGGGACGATCAAGTTAGTTATACCCCTTGGAGAGTAATGGAACGAATAGAAAGTGAAGAAAAATCTAAGTCTTGATCGTCCAGATGAATTTACCCATTCGTCCCTGGACGATGTTCTCTGATTTCTCACTTTGAACTGTTCATCCAGATGAAATGTCACATTCATCCCTGGACGATGTCCTCTAATTTCTCACTTTACTCTATTCATCCAGACGAAATGTCCCATTCATCCCTGGACGATGTCCTATAATTTCTCACCTTAAACTATTCATCTAGAAGAAATGTCCCATTCTTCCCTGGACGATGTCCACTGATTTCTCACCTTGAATTGTTCGTCTAGACAAAATGTCTCATTCGTCCCTAGACGATGTTCTCTGATTTTTGAAATTAACAATTCGTCCAGACGATTCTGCCCATTTGTCCCAGGACGATTTCCTTTATTCCTTAACCTCGTGGAATGTTCTACAGTTATTTTTCAACGAAGCTTAAAAATAACAGTTCGTATCGGATGAATTATGTTTGTACGGGACAATGATCGGGTACGAAGTAATTGTTAAGCGAGTTGCTGTTTGCATGTTTTAAATTCTTGCAACTTGTATTATTTTGATAATTTCAAATATTATTATTTTATATATAGTTATCTCCTAACACTTTTTGGAAGAGTTATTTTTGCTCTTGTGTGTACTAACATTTCAGGAAAATCAAACTCTAGACTACAAAGACTTCAAATCAAATTCAGCATGAGATACTCTGTGCATTTAAAAACTTATATTTTTTCTTTGAATTAAATTTGAGAGGGAGTGATTGTAATTGAGTGAATACACACACACACTTTAGGAGATCTTGAGAAATTTGAACTGATCGTATGGGACGAACATAGTTCGTATCGGACGATCAAGTCAATTATCTCCTCATAAGAGCAATAGAATGAACAGGAATTGAAAAAAAAAATTCTAAGTCCTGATCGTCCAGGACGAAGTGTATTCGTCCCAGGACGAAGTGTATTCGTCCCAGGATGAAGTGTATTCGTCCCAGGACGAAGTGTATTCGTCCCAGGACGAAGTGTATTCGTCCCAGGACGAAGTGTATTCGTCCCAGGAC